AACCACAACATGATTGTCAGTTGAACCCTGAGCATGTTGACAAGACCCACGAGCCAGATACTTGGGAAAGAATTCTCTATAGTAACTCCGAGCCTTCTCTTTCTACTGCCCCATCTCCAGACATTCATGATTTTTGCTACAAGCTATCACAGAGGGGCCACATGCCATTGTAGGCAGTCTTATCATTCCATCTCCTCAATAAACATATCGGCTGCGGCTACACTACAAGGTTTTGGCGCAAAACAGCTGTTTTTGCGCAAAAACCTGCGGAGTGTCCACACCTCAAATGAGCCCTTGCACAATTAAATGGGCAGTTAAATGGCAGAACAGAGGACTTTTTCCACTGTAGGTAAACCTCCTTTTCTGAGGTATAACTGCTTTTAGCACTACAGCTATTGCACAAGAAGGCAAGTGTGGACGCTCCAGAGGGGTTTCTTGCGCAAGAAACCCCTATGGGAAAAAGCACAGGTGCTCTGATGGCCATTTGCAGAATGGCCATCAGAGCTTTCTTGTGCAAGAGTGAAGACACCACAGAAAGTTGACATAAGATACATAGGCTCCAGATACCATATTCTCATTGCTGGAGTAGCAAACTTAGGTCAATTTATCTGTGTAGTGCAGACTAAGGTCAAAGTCTCCTCTCATAAGGTAAGTTTGTCATTCCTCTGATCATCCTATTTATCTTAACAAAGAGAAGATTAAGCCATTCCTCTGATCATCCTATTTAGCTTAACAAAGAGAAGATTAAGTAATGACTTGATTATAGTATATAACTGCCAAGATAAGGAACATGGTATTTGATAATGGGCTTTTTGTTGTAGCAGAGAAAGGTGTAATATCGTCTAGTGGCTAGAAGCTGAAAATAGACAAATTCAGACTGGAAACCCATTTTTAGCAATGAGGATAATTAACCACTGGAACAATTCCAAAGTTTATAGTAGATTCTCCATAATTAGCAATTTTGAAATTATTTTGAGGAAGTTCTGTGGCCTGTGATATATGCATGAAGTCAGACCAGATGACCACAGTGATCTCTTCTGGCCCTGGAATTTGTGAATATTATAAGCAATCTTCACTCACCTCATTCCATTGAGGTTAATGGGAATACTTGTGAAAATAGACTACTCTTGTGAATAAGATTTTTGTAGGATATGGCCCACAGGGTAATTCACATTCTAAGATTATTGAGACAAATGAAAAATATTCAAAAATAAGAGACAGGAATGAATGAATTTTGTGAACTTTGTAAATAGTAGAACACAAAGGCACAGATTGTGCCAATTAGGCATGGACCTAATTTAGAGTTGGTACAACAGCCACCCTGCCTCAAGACGCAGGAGAGACTGTGGCGTGTCTATGCTTGTTTTTTCTATTAAGATAAACTTGGTATCAGCATATTTTCTACTACTGCATATATCTATCAATTCAAGTAGAAGGAGCACTGATGTGTGATTAATACTTTGTAATTCTTTCTAAGCCTTGCACCCTACCAAAAGGTAAGTAAACTTCATTCATAAGTCACAATTTTGGGAAACAGACAAAAAGATGTTAAATGTCTTCTGCAATTCTGTAAGGTTACACCAAAAGTCCATGGCATACTTTTCATTTGCTGGTGTTTTCAAAGCTCTGTGTGCACAGAAGTGTGATGAACTTGTTTAAGGCAATGTTTGCTAAAGGTAGCAAAGGTTAGGGATTTGAAACAGCTTGTTTGACTCTTGAGGAGTCTTGATGTCAGGCAGTACAGTCTTCAATATTTGTATCTTACTTCCAGCTCTTCCAAAGTAATGGAATACAAATAAACTGCAGCAGATTCTAATTTGTGAGGAGCTGCTAGTTTACTATACTGAGACTTAAATTGGAAATGGCTATGGAGTCATTTGTTTTGATCAAACCTTATCTTCCCCCAATTGCTTACAGAAGAGCAGGGCAGAAGAGTAGTGCAAGATTTGCACATTTTCAGGAATAAGGACTGACAGCTGCGGTAATGGTTATTAGCTCACAGGAAATAGTGCAGGTGTACTACATTCTCCACAAATGCACCCATCTTTAAATTTCTAAGATGACTGCCCGTTAGGCCTTGCCTATAGAAATGTCTGTTGACTAACAAGGTCTTGAGTATGTGTGAAGAGTGGCAAGTGATGTTTATTTCCAGAGTTATATTCTGTGGGTATTCTCCAGTATTCACTTGCAAAAAACCTGAGCTGTTTTCTGTGTTAGTAGGGCTGTCAAGTGATTAAAAAAAAAAAAGTTCATGTTCATTTTCATCATCCGAGTCAGATGCCAGCAGCAAAAGGTTGACTTTTTTTTTTAAGTGGTTCAGGTTCTGTAGTTTCCTCATCAGAGTCTTATTCTTTTAAGACATCTGAAGGCACGTTCTATAGCAGTGGTCTCCAATCTTTTTAATCACCAGATCACTTTTTCAATTCAAGTACAATGTAAGATCTACCTCAAACCCAAATACCCTTGCCCCACTTCCTTCCTGCCTCTTCTTTGAGGCCTTGCCCTGCTCCACCCCTTCTCCGAGGCCTCACTTTGCTCACTCCATCTCCCTTCCTCCCCAAACCTCATTTGTTTTCACCAGACTGGGGTAGAGGGGTGGAGTGCAGGCTCTAGTCTTGGACTAAGGGGTTTAGAGGGTGAGGGATCGGGGTCCAGGAGGTGTTTCAGGGTGCAAGCTGTGGGAAGGAAATTGGGTGCAGGGGGATTCATTATCTGGGGCAGGTGATTGAGTATAGGAGGAGGTTCAGGGCTGGGACAGGGGTTCAGGAAGCAGGCTCTGGCTGGGCACCGTTTAACTGAGGCAGCTTCCAGGTGGTGCACCAGTTGGATTAAGGCAGGCTCACTCCTGCACTGGCACTGCACAACTCCTGAAAGCAGCTGACATGTACATCAGTGGCTCCATGGTGCTATGTACTGCCCCTCATCCACAGCCACTGAGTCCACAGCTTCTACTCATCACAGTTTCCTGTTATTGATCAATAGGAGCTGCAGGAGCGGTGTCTGCAGGCAAGGGCAGCATGTGGAGACCCGCTGTTCTGCCTTTCTCAGGAGCTGCAGGGACATGCCAGCCACTTCCAGAAGCAGCAGTTACCACAGGGATAATTAGTCCAACCACGTCAGGTTAGGCATTTTAGAACTCACTACTCAAAGAATTAAATTTAAGCAGTGTAGAAAGGCTCTTGTGCAAGAGGTGGAGTTTTGCACAAAAAGGAGCCATCTACCCTGCTCTTTTTTGCGCAAAAGCCTCTTGTGCAAAAACAGCTTCTAATTAATTATGCAAATGAAGTGCGGAGATATTCCACACTGAGCTTCATTTGCATAAGCTTTTCCAGAAAAAGGCTACAGTGTAGACGTAACCTTAGTGTGATGTTTGAGACAAGACACCCTTGTTTGCAACTAATATCTAACAATGCGTATTTATAAATTAAACACTTGCATAAGAACAGCCATGCTGGGTCAGACCAAAGGTTTGCCTAGCCCATTATCCTGTCTGCCAACAGTGACCAATACCAGATGCCCCAGAGGGAGGGAACACAACAGGTAATCATCTCATGATCCCTCTCCAGTCACTCATTTCCAGACAAACAGAGGCTACCCATTCTTACCCGTCCTGGCTAATAGACTCATGGAGGTTAGGTCCATCAAGCTATCTAGCAATTTTTGATCCCTGTTAAAGTCTTAGTCCTCACCACATCCTCTGGCAAGGAGTTCCACTGTGTGGGGAGTGAAGAAAAACTTCCTTTTGTTTTCTTGCAGCTTCCAATGAGTAAAAGGCTTGTATCAACAGGTATGAATGCTGACATCACTGCTATTATTGGCTTTCTGGGTTGCCACCTTCCATGGTATCCTTAATCAGCAGGTTTTTTTATTTCATATGCAGTATCAAGGGTCTGGCTTCTGAACAAATATGCAATTTGCAGTGGTAATTTATCAGTAGGAAGATAAAAATTTACTAAGGGGGATTCCTAGATGTTTCGTGTTTTGATATCTGGTAAGATGATCTTTTTGTTTTTTACACACTGTCCCTCGATATAGATCCCTCTGTACAGACAGGACTGCAGTAAGCTTCCAAATATGATCCCCTGCCAAAGCCTGCTATGACAGCTATGTGAAACGGCACAGGGAGTTTGAGGGCTCCTCCTTCCCTCCCTCTGGAACTGGCTGCATTAGTAACGTTCTGTAGATAGTGCTGACTTGCGATCTTATTTCATATAGCTCTATAATCAGTGATTCCAGGATTCAAACTCAAAGGCATTGCCTTTGACTAATATTAGACCTGGCACAAGCGGTACTATTAGCTACCTCTCTACTGCACAGAACAAGCACGGAGTGTTTGCCATTTTAGTTTTGATGTACTGCAACAGCATGTTTTCTAAATCGCAAGTATTTTTAAAACAGGTTTGAAGGAGGGGTTGGATTTTTTTTTAGCTCATCTATATACAAGCCAAATTTATTTTCTAACTGTAAAACATCATGTTCAGTGGAAAATGTGATTAAAATAGCCATTTGATTTCTGTAAATTATGCTGCTTCTGATATGGAAGGCAAGAAGAGGGTTGTTTTATTTAAATAAAATACCTTGGAAAACTGTGTACAGCCTACAGTGTAAACGTGCAAAAGTAGCAGTGTTTTGAGAATAGCTGCTGAACTCTGTTGCTGCAGGCGCTCAGGAATGTCACTCACAGAACATTCCTTCCCTGGGCAGCCAAGTTTGGAAGTGAGTTGATCCTGGGTGCAAATTGAAAGGCGTGTGTATGTGCGAAGGGGAGACAGTGAGAACAGATGGCTTTGCTTTTCCTGTCTAACAACCACCGGTGAAAGCATCTCCATTCCTCATGTAGGAGACAGGTAAAAGACAGCTGACTGCATCTCTATTAAGAGGAAGTGGGAAAATAGTGGAGGGAGGGTCTGGGGGTGGAGTGGCAAGGGGAAGAGAGAAAGGGAGTATACCAGAGTGCCTGTGATTGGTAAACTTCGCAAAGGCATCTGCCAGCAGGACTTCAGTGGAATGTGAAACCAAATCATTTACAAGTTAAAGATAGACACAGAATACACAGCATGTTGAGCCAGGATTAAACTTATCCCTCTTTGCCTAGCTTCTCACAGAGTTCTGTTTTGTCAGCGTTCCTCTGTCCACATTAAGGACTTTGTTAGTACTCCTTTAAATATAAAATAACTCTGGATTCGTTAAAATTACTAAGGTGGCATAGGAAATCATGGTGCACACTGAAGGGTAAGTAGAAAGTTGTCTTTTGGATACCACTTCATTATAGCAAGTTAATGGGGCTCTTCTTTCTTGGGATTCAGAGCAGTCCAGCAGTTCATTTAAAAAGAGGTATGCTTTTAAGTAACGTTCCTTGTTTGCCATTTATGACTTATGTGGATTTTATGTTTGTTAGCTGGAATTGCACAACTAAGCTTGTTTTGACATGCTTAAAACATTTTACATTTTCATAATCACGGCATTATAGTTGTGAATAGTTTTCCTGTTATTTCTCACCCCCACCCCCTCGCCATACTTTGAGTCTGTGTGTCGGTAGGATTAGGGGTGTGTTGTAAATCGTGCTTCACCAAAGGTGAAATAAACTTATTTTACCATGGTTAGAAGACATGTAATCATTGTTGTAGAGTTCTTCTAGTTTTGTATTGTTCGCGGATTCACTTATCTGCCAGTTTCTAATGTGTGAATTGTGAACACAGAACAGGTTTCATTACTTACACTGGTCATTTCACCCCACCACATGAATGCTATTACTTGGCATTGTAGAGCTTTCACTGGGGGCTGTTTTTGTCGTCTTAAATCAGCCAGTGAGAAGTTTGTTTCCTAATAAGAACTTGTATTTCATATAAAACTGATTTTTATCAGAATGTTTAAACTGTATGAGTCATTTTTTCAGTGCGCTCTGTGCCTTTTTAAAAACGTAACTCCTGGCTTAAGCTTTTGAGTCAGCAAACCCAAACTTCACAGAATTCCTTCTGCATTCATGCTGCCCATTATCATCATAGGGAGCAAAGTGCTTTTTATAGAGAAATTAATGTCCTGCCATTCTTGTTTATAGATTGTGTGTAGCTTAAGAGTTATTTAATGCCACAGTTCAGTCTTTGCTTTGCAGACTATACTGAGTAGCACTTGACTAAAATAGAAACACATCTCCTTCATTTGAAGGAAAAATGAGGTACCTCTGAGATGTTACTCTTTTTCTGATTGATTGATTTCATTTATATCAAGTCAACTTGCAAGAATTTAGTAATATCGTTAGCATCTTTTGTGTCCAATAAAAGCTAATTTCTGCTTTGTTTGTGTAGTTTGTATCGAATAGTGTGAATTAAATCAAGAGGTGGGGGAGTGGGAGAAACTGCAGAACACTTAAGGCAAACCTGAAAACAATGTCAGAGGGTATAATGACCAATAGGCTACTATGGTCTATCAGTGGTCCCCAACCTTTTGGGGCTGCCGGGCGCTCGGGGGCAGGGGCTGCACATGTGCCACATGCCTGGGGCGGGGGCTGTGCATGCGCCGGGCGCCTGGTGCACAAGAATGGTTCGGGCCGGCCCTGGTCACTAGGCGGGCGCACATAAATGCCCCGGCGGACGCCATGGCGCCTGCAGGCACCGCATTGGGGACCACTGTGGTCTTGATCCTCAGTGTTGATGAAGTCAGTGGATCTCTGACAGTTCACACATACTAAGGGTATGTCTACACTAGCCCCCTAGTTCGAACTAGAGAGGCTAATGAGGGTGACCGAAATTGCTAATGAAGCACGGGATTTAAATATCCCGCTCTTGATTAGCATATTCCTGGCCGGTCGCCATTTTGGAAACTGACTAGCCCGAAGTAACCGCCCAAGTGTAGAAGTGGGATTCCAAGATAAACCCCTTAGTTCGAATTAACTGTTAAACCTCATTCCATGAGGAGTAACAGTTAATTCGAACTAAGGGGTTTATCTCGGAATCCTGCTTCTCTGTCGCGTGTAGACAAGGGCAGTTACTTCAGACTAGTCAGTTTCCAAAATGGCGACCAGCCGGGAATATGCTAATCAAGCACGGGATATTTAAATCCTGCGCTTCATTAGCAATTTCGGTCGCCCGCATTAGCCTTCCTAGTTCGAACTAGGGGCTAATGTAGACGTATCCCAAGGCTCTGCCCCATTGTATCCTTTTAGCTGGGTCTTACTCCTTATTCCTGTTAAATTACAATGATTCTTTACACTATCTCAGGGGTTTTCAAACTTTTTTTCTCATGACCCAGCTGAAGAAAATTGTTGATGCCATGACCCAGCATAATATGACTAGAGTGTGGGCTTCAGGGTGGGGCTGAGGATGAGAACTTTGAGGTGTAGGAGGGGCCTCTAACTTTGAGGGGGCAAGGAAGGGCTTACTTTGAGCCCCCGTCAGCAGTGCAGAAGGAGTACTAAGATAGGCTTCCTGCCTCTCCTGGCACCGCAGACTGTGCTGCACCATAGAAGCAGCACGAGGCAGTTTCCTAGCCAATGGGAACGTGGAGCTATTGCTTGGTGCCGGGGCAGTGTGTGGAGCCCTGTGCGCCTTCTCCCTTCCCACTCCCACCTAGGAGCTGGGCCTGCTGTGCAGTCTGCGGTGGCAGGTAGCCTGCCTTAGCATCCCCACTGGTCATCTGATCCCCCTGCAGCAATGAGACTGAGTGCCTAACATTCCACAATCCAGTACTGGGTCACGAACCATAGTTTGAAAACCACTGTACTATCGCATCATTGTAAAAATATTATTTCTTAGCTGATGATATATAAAGAATCAGACGTAACTGACAAGAAAGGATAGTATTGTGAGTGAGGCAGCGAACTGGGACATAGGAGAGCTCTGTACCTTTGGATAAGTCACCTAATCTCTTTGATAAGATCTTTCTTACACCCTTTGTTCATTTTGTCTGCTTAGATTGCAAAGTCTGTGGGCTGGGGACTGTCTCTGACAGTGACTAACATAAAGGATTTCTGTTCACAGGTGGGGCCTCAAGGTACTGCTGTACTACAAAATATAAGAGCTTAGGGATTGTTGGCTCTTTAGTTGAATATGTGGATTTTGGTGTGTGGGTTGTGTTGTTGTTGTTAACTCCCAAACCTGACAGTGGGAGGCTGAGAATTAGAGCTGAGAGAAAATCAGAATGTCAATTTCTTGAGAAATGTTTATCTTTTAACATTGGGTTTTCATTTCAAATTGGGATGAAAAGTTAAATATTTAAAAAATTACATGGAACAAAATATTTCTGAATATTTTAAAAACATCAAACATTTTTGTTTTGACACCTTAGATCAAAATTGAACATTAGAATGACCAGGGATATGAAAGATTGACACGTGAAGTGCACCCTTAACAGATGATGCTTACCAGTTCCAGTTAACCAGTAAGGGGCGGAGCAGTTCCCCACCCACGGGTGCTCCAGCCTGGCCTGAGCAGCCTTTGTCCATGGAGGGCCCTGACATGCCACAGTCAGAGGCTGTACTGGCCGGGCTGGGACAGCCCCTGCCTGCAGCGTGAATGCCTGTCCACCTTTTAATAGGTTAACCAGTTAAACACTATGTTTAATTGGTTAACCAATTAAATGGGATTTTACCTCACCGACCTTGTCTCAGGAACATAATGTCATTTATTGACCAACTTCTGTTGGTGTAAGAGACAAACTTTTGAATGACACAGAACTCTTCTTCTGCATCAAATATTTTGTGTTCCCAAAATATTTAGTTTCAGTTTGTTGAAATATTTTGTTTTGGTTTGTTGAACTGACTCAAAATAAAACGTTCAATATTTTGACAATGCAAGTATTGGTTTTGGGCCTTAGTACCCCTAAAAGATTTCTGCAGTAATAATTCCTTCAGGTATTAATAAATTCTACTCCCAGAGGTGAGGATATGTTTGTTCTGGCAGGATCTGGCCTGCAGTTCCTGCTGGGTGCACTGCATCCTGGAGAAGCTCAGCTTTGTAAGAGCAGAGGTATTGCAGTACAGTCTCAAAATATCACGCCTTCTTGGCCATCTTTCAAATCCCCTGATTTTGTGTGCTCCCTCAGTTCCATTCACTAGAGAGAGAACATCATGGAAACCCCTCAATCCATCAAGTGGTTTTCGATGTCTGACAGCTTATTGATTAGGTTGTTTTAGTAGCACAAGATGAGGAACTTACTAAGTTAGCTCAGGGACTTGATGCTAATTTATTTGGGTGAAGGACTTGAAAGTATAATGAAGCCTCCCATTAATGGGATGCTGAATATTACAGTTGTGGTAGGTGAGAGAGATCCTAATATGCTTTGTTTGGGGGCAAAGGGAAATGTAGCAGAAATCATAAACTCAGATTTTGTGAACTCAGACTTTGGTGTCTCTGAGATCTGGCTTGGTGTGTCATCTCTTACTGTATCTAGCAGTGACAACAGATTTGGGGATCTTTCCAAAGAATCAAGGACACAGTGCATATGCTGTGAAAATAGTGCCCTGAATATCCAGCCATGTATCTTACTTTCATGGTATCTGTCTACTGAATTGCACCTCTCCTGAGGCAGAAATGTTCAATGGATACAGGCACTAGACTGAGAGTCAGAGATTCTGTTTCTGTCTTTGGCTTTAGGTAGGTCACTTAACTGACTTTGTGTCTCAGTTTCCCCTTCTGTAAATATGAGGATCATTACATTTGCCCAGCCTTGTAAAATGCTTTGAAACTTATGGCTGGAAAATATTTTTATCATCACAATAAAACCCCTCTCCAATAATATGCTTTGCTGTACAGTTGTCAAAGCTTGGGCACTGCAAAGAAAAGGTAGTGCATAATACTGAAGTTTTTGGGAAGTATAATTAGACTTAAAAAAAAAATGTTTGAGCTCTGACATAACCCATTTTTTTGAAAGAGAACGAAAATAAAATACAGCAGAATCTCTCTGGGTTAGCAGAACTACACTTTTGAGTAGCCAGTAACAAACGAGAAGAATGATTTGCAGATAAAAAGAGTCAGCAAGCTTATCCTGATTTGCCACATTTTAAAAAATACAATATTTTAACAAGAATAACTATTTTCTACTATCTGTTACCTCTGTCACTGTTCCTACATGATGAGATTTTTTTTTTGAAAGTGAATGAGCACTGGCATTACATTGGAATGTTCTTGAGTCCTAGGAGATTTTCAGGCCAGGAATGTGTTGGCTGCAGTGCCGGTTTTTTCATGTTTTTCATCCTTACCTGAGCAAAAGAGATGCTGTCTCATTCATTTTAAATA